ATCTTGTGGGTGTTCAGAGCTTGCTCAATCTTTCTCTCTACTGAGCTTGTTTTTACTCAAAACTTTGAAAAAAGGAAATAATCTCAGGTAGTAGATTAACCAAAACCCATAATCCCCACAGTGTCTCCACTTGTAAGGAAACTTCCACCTTCTTTAATAAAAGTGAACCCTGACCCGCCAGGTAAATAGAGCTGTGTCCGGGCAGCTTGTGTAGCTCTTGCAGGCTCGGAGAAGGAAGGGCTGCAATCAGACTTTGGTTTTACAAAGGTGGCTTTGTCTGGAGCGTAGGGGGTGGGGGAGGAGGGCAAGGCTACTGAAGGGAGACCCTGTCTGCTCCGTCCCAGCACCAGGCCTGAGCCTGGCTCATGCAGGCACTCGGTCACTGAGGGAAGGAGGCAGGGAGCCGGGAGAGTGGGGACGAGGAATCCACAAGCGGAAGATGTTCGGGGCAGGAAGGAGCGTGTCGTGGTCTGTCTTCAGAGACAGGATTGACCTCCCACCCCCAAATTTGGTTTGGACAGAGACTGATGGCACCACATCCACCGGGAGGTTATGAAAAGGTTCCTTACTCACATACTGAGGCTTTCTGGGGATCGCAGGGCAGGTCCCCAAGCTGGTCAGAAAATGACTTGCAAGGGCACAGAGAGGAGACTGGCAGGGTTTTTTTGTCACGGTTGGAGCTAGGGCAGGGGTGAGGGCTCCTGCATGTGGTTTGAACTCTCCTCTGACGCCAAGGAAGGAGCACTTGCCCAGATGTGGGGTGCAAGGGGACAGGGACGATGAAGCTCCAGGGCTGTCAGCAGTCAGACTTGAGAGCACGGAGAAGCCAGGGCTGCTGGGAGGAGGCCGCTGGCAAGCGGCGTCTGACCTTGGTGGATGCTATGGTCTGAACGTGTCCCTCCTCCCGAACTCACATGGTGAGGCCGAACGCCTGGGTGATGGTATTAGGGCATGGGGCTGCCTGATTAGGTTGGGAGGGCAGAGCCCCGGGGGCAGAGTCAGTACCTCATAAGAGACCCCAGAGGGACGCCTGGGTGGCTCAGCGTTTGAGCATCTGCCTTCGGCCCAGGGCATGATCCTGGAGTCCCGGGATCGAGTCCCACATCGGGCTCCCTGCATGGAGCCTGCTTCTCCCTCTGCCTGTGTCTCTGCCTCTCTCTCTCTCTGTCTCTCTCTCTGTGTGTGTGTGTGTCTCTAATGGATAAATAAAATCTTAAAAAAAGAAAAGAGACCCCAGAGAGCTGGCCTGCCCCCCTCCCGCCCACCGTGTGAACCTGGCTTTCCGCAACCGGGAAGAGGGTCCTCCCCAGAGCCCAACCATGCGGCCACCCTGATCTTGGATCCCCAGCCTCCAGAAATCCGAGAGAGAGATGTCTGTTGTTTATCAGCCGCCTAGGCTGGTGTTGAGCTGTAGTAGCCTGAGCGGACGAGGATGGGGATGGTGCGGGAGGGCCGGATGCGGGGCCCAGGAGGCCGCGGAGTCCGGGACACGCGTGGCTTTAGAGTCGCATAGTGAGAAGGACGGGAGGGCAGAGGGCAGCGGAGACGGGCAGGCGGGCCCGGAGGGAGGCCGTCGGGCTTGCTCGTGGTGAGGGGTTGGAGGCGCAGAAGGTGCTTGTGGACAGGGGCAGAGGTGGGGGAGAAGGGGTGACAGTGGGCTGAGGTTCTCGGGTTGCGAGAAGGTCCCAAGGACACGTGACGGGACTGCACTTGGATGAGGCTGCCCTGCAAGTGACCACTCCTAGGGCGAAGGCCGCTGGCCAGGGCGTGGGTGGGGCGCGAGCCCTCTGGAAACCATCTCCTGCCTGCGGACGCCAGCCGGGCTTTCCAGCGGCCCTGCCTGGGCGCGGCCTTCCCTCTGCACCCGATGCCTCTCCCCTTCCCGGCTCATCGGTTGAGCTGCAGCCAGAGCCCTCGCTCACTCGCTCACTCAGTAGTTGACAGCGCCATTGTGAGGAGGAGGCTGCTGTTCCTCAGCGTGCAGGCCCGCAGCAAAGGTTAGATAAGGAAGCGTTGGCAAATCCCATAGGATCCTCCTCTGGTTCGCCTGTCCGCCCCTCCTTTATTGACCATCTTCTCGGTACGGGGTCTGGAGATAATCGCCGGACAAGATCAGGGGGTGGTGGGGGTGGCGAAAGGAGGGACACCACCTTTCAGATTGGTGACAGGTGACAGGGAGGGCCCAGGCAGTGGGCGTGGCTTGATGGTGGGAGACCAAGCCCTGCCTAGAGGTTTGCTGGCTCCAACTGGTGGCTAGTGAATTATTCATTTGTCAACCACTGTGTCCAGGCTGCTTGCCAGGAGGGTGCCCTGTGACCCAGGGTTTTAAAAATTAATGTGTTCATTGAGTCATTCCCCTGACTCACATTCACCGGCACCTATTACTTGCTGAGCCCAGACTCTTCACACCACAAAAGGCCCAGGGGGGGGAAGGAGGAGTTTCAAGCCATGCTGTTTAACCGGCAAACACGGGGCATGGGGAGGTGACAGGCAGGCCACCAGGCCAGGGGCCAGAGGGGAGAGTGATGCGATTTGGATGCGTGCATATGTGTGCGTACTGAACGGTTTTGGGTGATTGTGGGTGTGTGCATGGCGGGCCCCTTCAGGCTGGTGCTCTGGGTGCCTGGGTGTCTGGGTTTCGGCCTCGGACGGAGGGCAGACAGTGGTGATGGGCATGACAGGTTTAGCAGCACAGGGGCCTTGGGCCCTGAGTCCCTCCACACCCACGCACACGGGCATGCGTGCACGTACACGCACATGCACACACAGAGGTACTCAGCCCAGAGGGCCCGTGCCTTGCCCCTGACGGAGGGAGCTGGGGAGAAGGGTTTGTGGAGCAGGAATCCTGTCACCGGGGTAGAGCGTGTACAAAGACCCTTAGGTGGGACACCGTAAACCTCCAGGGAGTTGCTCGAGGGTGTTGCCACGACTGGCAAAGTGGTGAGACCCGAGGCTGGCTGGCCAACAAGGTGACTCCCCAGGAACTGGCATGTGAGGCTAAGGCCTCGGCTTTCTCCTGAGTTGGAGGGGTGCTGGGAGAGGGAATCCAGGACCGAGCCCGTTCTGGCTTTCATCCGAGGAAGCTGGCTCTGGCTGGTGGCTGGTGTTGTGGGCCAAATGGTGGCCCCCTCTGCTGTACCCGCGGGAACCTGTCAATGTGACCTTACTTGGCAAAAGGGTCTTTGTAGGTGTGGTGACGTGAAGGATCTCAAGTTGACACCATCCTGGATTTCCTCAGTGGGCCCTGAAGGCGGAGACACATAATAGGACGGACACAGAGACACAGAGAGGAGCAGGCCGCAGGACAAGGGGGCAGAGACTGGAGTGACGTGGCCACAAGCGGAGGGACGCCTGGGGCCTCCCGCAGCTGGAAGAGGTAGGAAGGATTGTGCCCTAGAGCCTGCAGGGGTTTAATGGGCCTGTCGGCATATTGCTGTCACACTTCTGGCGCGCAGAGCTGGGGGACGATGAGTTCCTGCGGTGCTAGGTCTCTCACTCTGTGGTCACTTGCCACAGCGGACAGGGGAAATGGGCACAGATCACAGCTGGTGCGGAGGGAACTGGGGGGAGCTGGGCTGGGCAGGGATGGGGGAGCTGAGGAAGGAGACCAGGCTGTCCTGGGTGGATCAGGAGACACCAGGATTGTCACTGGGGTCCGGTCACCCTGGTGGAAGAGCTTGGGAGCAGTGGCTTTCTCCTCTCCAAGCTCCCAAGTCTCTCAAGTCTTGGCCACCATCCGATTGTACCAGAAGGACCCAGATGACGATCGTTAGCTGGGGCGGGGGTGGGGGGGGGCTGGTGAGCTGCATCCCTAATGCCTGTGAAATGGCACCGCGAGCTGGGAGTCAAACCGCGCACTGGTCTGTTAGGCTCCTCCAGCGTCCAGCGCCGGAAGGGGAGCAAGGCAGGGGAGCAAGGCCCGATCGGCCAGCGACGCAGAGCCAGTGCCCGGCCGAACCCCGTGAGGCGCCCTTTCCTCGCGCCTTACCCTCGGGGGCGCGCTGGGGCTCGGGCAGAGCTGGGTTCCGCTGTTAGGGCGGCTGACGCCCAGTCACGGGTCCCAGGAGAGCGCCCGTAGGCGCCCGTCGCCAGCAGCTCTCCGGGTCCTGGCGCGCAGCGCAGCTTCGTGGCGCCGCCGGCCCTCGCAGCCGGGGTGCCGGGGTGCCGCGGTGCCGGGGTGCCGGGGTGCCGGGGGCCCGGGGAAGAAGCGCAGCGGGTCCGGCTCCGGGGAGCGCGGCGCGGCCGTCGGGGGCGGGAGCCTCCCGGGGGCGGGGCGCCAGCTCCCCCGGCGGAGCGCGCGCTGCTCCGCGACAGGCGGGCGCCGGCGGGCCACCCGGCCGACTGGGCCTCTGCGCCTGCGCCGGCGCCTGCGCGCAGCCGCGCGGCCCGCTCCCCCCCCAGCCCCGGCGCGTGGGGGGAGGGACCCGAAAGGCGGGGCGGGCGGGGGAGGGCGGGGTGGGGGCCGGCGGGGCGGGGCGGGGCGGGTGGCCGCGCCCGCCGCGAGGACCCCCGGAGCCGGCCGCCGCGCGCTGGGGGCCCCTTGTCCTTCCGGCGGGGGTCCGGGGCCGCGGGGCGGGGCCACATGGAGGCCCGGGGCCCGGACAGCTGCGGAGGAGGGGACGCGGCGCGGGGCGCAGAGGGGCGGCCGGCGCCCGAGGCCAGGGTGCACTTCCGAGTGACGAGGTTCATCATGGAGGCAGGTAACCGCGGTCGGGACCGGGCCGGCCTCGCGGGGACCCGCTGCCCGCAGGAGGGGGCGCCAGGGCCGGGAGCCGGCGCGGCCGACCGGGCGGGGGGGGCTCCCGGGGACGGGCCTCCGCGTCGCGCCGCGCCCCGGGACTCGGCTCTGAGCTGCGCGCGGACGCGGGCGCCGCCACCTCGCGGACGGGCGCGGGGCCCAAGGAGAGGACGCGGGAGGCGCCGGCCCCCAGCCCGGGCGCCCGCCGCACCTGCCCGCCGGCGCTGCGGCCCGGGACGAGCCCGCGGGCCAGGGCCCCGCGCGCCCCTCGGAAGCCCCGCGGGCGCGTCGGCAGCCGCGGCGGCCGCCCGGGCTCCCAGCGGAGACAATGAAGCGAAGCGGATTCCTGCAGAAACACTGTGTCTTTCCGGCCCTTGTATCGGCCCTGGCGGCCCCACAGTTACTTCCGATCTTTGTTACTTTGTGCGCCCGGCGCGCGTGCGGCCTCTGGGGGCTCCGCTTTCCAGGCCGGCTCAGCAGGGCCCGGGGAAGTGGTGCAGGACCATTGAGCCCCGGGATTCGGACGCTGCCCGGGGCGTGAGGCAGGACGGCGGGGCCTCTCGGGGGCTGCCGTGCTCCCGCGTGGACGCTCCACGTAACCCAGGGCAGCATGCGGCCCTCTGAGCACTCGCCACCGAAACAGGACTTGGAGGGGCATGCGCAGCTCTAGCGCCTTCTCTGACATCCCTTGGTATGAGGGGTGCCTCGCCCCAACTGTGTAACTGAATTTCAAGCCTTGAAAGGCCGAAAGCCCTTCCGGGTCCCTCTCAGAGGACTTCTTGAGACAATGGCCTGCATATGCCCTTGCTCCCCCGTGGGACGCTGAACACTGGCCCTCCGAAGGTGTCCCCATCCCAAGCCCCTGCACTGGTGACTGTTCTTACCCCACGTAACAACACGCAAAGGAGAGACTTTGCAGATGACATTCAGCATCTTGATGTGGAGGGCAAACTGCCCTAGATTATTCCCCAGGCCCAGAATGATGCCACCCACCACGTCCTTAGCAAGGCAGGAGTGATGAGCAGAGCAGAAGGCCACACGAGGACGGAAGCACGGTTAGAAAATGCTTCCCCGCACTTTGACCAGGGAGGAAGTGGCCACGGGCCAAAGACTGCAGCCACCTCCAGAAGCTGCAAAGGGCAAGGAAACCTTCTCCCGTGGAGGCTCCAGGAGGAATCCACCCTGCCCACGCCTCCAGCTTAGCCCCCTAAGACCCATTTCAGACTCCTGACCACAAGGGCCGTAAGAGAAAGGATGCGTGTTGCTTGAAGCCACGGAGTCTGTGGCGATCTGTTAGAGCAGCCCCAGGGGACTAACGCCCCTCAGGGAGAAGCTAGCGAGTGTGATCTTAATGACGTTGGTTGTCCTCCACCTTCTTTCAGTCTATTGGATGCCATTTAATCTTCTCATTGTGAACTTATATTGGTTCTGTGACCCAATGCCGTGATTTCCTTAGGAGCTGTCCAGAGGCGGGGCCGGGGCAGAGGCTTTCCCCTCTGCTGTCATCTTGGCAGGATTTTTGTTAGGTGAGCTGTGGGGGTGGGGCGGCCTCTAGTTAAATGCCCCCTAAGGTAGCCACAGACACACGACAACGTGTGGCCCTTTCTGTGATGTGGTGCAGAAGCCGACAAGCCAGCTGCTAACCGAGCACTAGTCTGAAGCCTTGCCTCTCCTAGTGTGGTCTGCACATCTGTAGCTTGGGTGTGACCTGGGGTTGACCCCGGGTGGCAGGGGGGGCGGGTGGCTTGGGAGAAGTGTGCAATCCACAGTGCTGCTGGAGGGGACACCACATTTGCGCACGACCCCCCAAGGGGCTCACTGCCCCATTAGGGCATGAGAAGCCTGGCTGCAAACCTCTCAGGTAGAGGGCCCAGTGAAAGACTCAGCACCCAAGGCCAGCTAGGCTCCAAGCTCCTGGTCTTGTCTGAGCAGTGGGGTACCCCCTTAGGGCCCAACAGCAGCTCCACTCATGCGGTAGCACACGCCTAGCACTGGACTGAAGTAGCCTCCTGCCTGCTTTCTCTTGGTAGGTGTCAAGCTGGGGATGCAGTCCATTCCCATCGCCACTGCTTGTACCATTTACCATAAGTTCTTTTGCGAGATTGACCTGGACGCCTACGACCCCTACTTGGTTGCCATGTCTTCCCTTTACTTGGCCGGCAAAGTGGAGGAACAGCACCTGCGTACTCGTGACATCATCAACGTTTCCAACAGGTAATGGCTCCAGGCCTAGGCCTCTGGGAGGACTCACCGGTGTCCGCCCAAATGGGAGGGCAGAGAGGGGTCCCACTGGACCCTGACCCCCGGGTGCCAGCAGCCAAGCTCAGAAGGAAGCGCCAGAGTGGTCTTAAACCAGGGCAAGAGGCACTAGCCGCAAGGGCAGGAATGAGGCCAGGGTCAGAAACCCCTGGGTGTCAGTGGAAGAGAAGCTGGGGCCAGATGAAGGGAAGTCTAGAAGGCCAGAGGGAGCATAGTAGAGCCGGGCTCATGGCGTGGGGAGCTTGGCTAGAGCACAGGGAACTTGGTGAGATGTGTCCAAGTGGATTCATTTGGAGTTTTAGGGCAGGATGGATCGAACCAGCTGTGTTTGGTGGGACCTGTGCGACCTTTCCATGTTGGGGGGAGGGCGTGGACCCAGTTGGGCAATGATTTTATTACGATGGTGTGAGAAGGCGAGTCAGAGTTGCTAACCAGCATCTCTTGCCCTGCTGCGGGTATGGTGCTCTGTGCGCAGCACCCTTGGGCGCAAGCAGCCGTATTCCCACTGGGGAAGGGTGTGGGGGTCCAGCCAGCCAGGCTGCATCGACACCCAGGGGGCCCAGGAGAAAGCAACTTGTGGAAAGTCACTGACCAGCAGAATGGCATAACCTTTCTAGAAACCAGTCATTAGGAAAGAAACCTGTTTTGTGTTGCTTCTCTTTTAATAAACAGGTAACGGGAAAAAGTACTCCCTCCCCCGCTAAGCATGACAGGTTCATGATGTACCGTTAAAGGCTGAGAGAAAAACCGGAGAGGGAAGCAAGGGAGAGCTGCCAGAGTCCACCTGTAATTGCCAGGTCCCCAGCAGGGAGGACCGGCAGAGGGGAAATTGTGTGGCTCGCTAATTGGACATGAGCACCCGGGTGGGATTTTGTGGGGGAAGTTGGAAAAGGAGTGAGGAACTAGGAAGGCTGAGTCATCAGCAGGGAATTTTGATCACTTGAGTGTGAATTCTGTTCTCCTGCATCTTGGTGATCCTCCTTAGGTGGGAGTGTTGTGGATATATATGGTGTAAATAAGGACAGAAGGATCTGGAACAAAGGAAGGACGATCTGGGAAACGTAAAGCTGAAATACAGTTATTCTTCTGCATAGAGCATCGCCACCACATATTCAAATACCTCCCCTGGGCCCAGAGTAAGAGCCCTGGGCACTGCCGGGCCAGGTGATCCAGACTGTCCCTCACAGCGGGCTGACCGTAACGGGAGCATGAGCAGTGCAGGGTACTGGAGCTTCCAGGGCTTCTGGAACAATTGCACAGAACTCGTCTTTCCCCTGGACATCCTGTTGAGTGATATGGGACAACCCATGAGGGCTGAGACTAGAAGCTGGCTTCTTTTCGCTGTTGGTTACTGTTTTATCCTAAAGCCTAGACAGGTAGATGACGAATGAGTTGAAAAGCACCAGCAGAACTGGCCCGATCTATGGCAGAAACCCCCTGGAGTTTGTGTCTCTCTCCACGCAGGTACTTTCACCCAGGCAGTGAACCCTTGGAGCTGGACTCCCGCTTCTGGGCGCTCCGGGACAGTATAGTGCAGTGCGAGCTCCTCATGCTCAGAGTCCTGCGTTTCCAAGTCTCCTTCCAACACCCACACAAGGTACCTGCTGGGGAATCGGCAACTATTTCTACAGGCATGAACCTTTCCGTCTTTGATCCAGAAAGCGCACCCACCGAACCCTCAAGAACATGTGGGGTATGTGCGGGACAGCAGAGGCGCCACCACCGGGCACCGGGGCTCCTGACTGCGCCCAGTGACCGGCTCAGGCGGCCTCTCTTGTCCCACTCACCGGGGCTTCCCAGACAGTTCCGATTTCGGCTTCCGCCTCCCCGCCTGCTCGGCCGAGGTCACAAGCCGGGATCCGCGTGACTCTTGAAGTCCTTGCAGATCCCGTGACCCATATGGCTTGTGTGCTCAGTGAGCCACAGGGAAGCAGGACAGGTTTCAGGACCTCCCAGACGCCCTGGCCCGCAGAGTTGCTGCTCTGCCTCAGAGCTCACACGCAGCCTGGCTGCGCTCAGAAACCCACCAAAAAGCTGAGTCACAAAGTTAATTAAGTAGCACACTTTTCACCGCTAGGAACACCTGGGTCCCAATCGAACTGTTTCAGGCAGCAGCAAAAGGGACCTGTGACGCCCCTAGAGCCCTTGGACATGATACCTTCGGGGCCCCAGGCCCCCACATGGGCAGCTGGGAAGCACGGCCTGCAGGGAAAGATGTGGAGCCGTGTGGGGCTGGGACATGGGCTGCGAACAGGATTTTTTTTTTAATTGGCATTTTTATTGAGGCAATGGTAGATTTACAAGCAGTCGGAGGGAATCACCCGGAGATCCTATTTGAGCTGGAGACTTTGCCCAGTCTCCCCGAACGGAAACATTTTGCAAAACTCCAACCCATATACGAGCCAGGGTGTCGGCACCGACACAGCCCCGCCCCTGCCAGGGATTCCGGGTGTTGCCTGCTTGTTACCTGTACCGCGTGGTGCTGTACGACTTTATCACATAGCACCTGCGTATGTCCTCCACCGCAGTTAACGTACAAAGCTCCAGCGGCACAGGGGCCCTTATAATCTCACCCCACCCTTCCAGACTGCCTTTCCAGTCCCGGAAACCCCTGGTGGAGATTTTGAAATAGTTGTGTCTCCGGTCGGTTGGTCGGTTAGTCGGTCAGTCGGATTGTTGGTTGCACGACGCAGGGGGAAGGCAGCAGCCGCCCTGCCTCTGTGGGGCGGTCACGGTGCCAGGCGCCGGGTCTGGGGAAGAAGGGCACCTGCCAAGGGAGCTGTCGGTGCCTGGAGCCTCGCGGCCCCCACTTCCATCAGGTCGGGACGGGGTATACGGTGCCAAGGAGCCCCCTCTTCCGGGGCGTGCTGCAGTCCCGTGCGTGTGTGTTTGAGCCCGTCGAGCGGGCCTCTCGGTGGGTTGGCAGGTCGGGTGGTTCAAGCAAAGCAGCCGGCTTCCGAGAGTGGGAGCTCACAGGCAGCTGAGCCAGTAAAACCAGTAAAGAATTTACAGCCGAGGACAGCGCTCCTGGCAGACAGTCACCAGCCTCAGTCCTGAAAGTGGGCGTCCTGTCTCCGGGTAGTCCCTGGCCTCGGGCCGGGCACGGGGGTGCCATGGTCTGTTTGGAAGATGAGGACACTATTTCTGGAGCTTATGTTGAGCTGGGCCAGGGCATACACAGAGCGATTTTTGACGATGGCTAAGTAGGGCTGTGTGACGGAGAGGGACCGTGGTAGGGGTGGCCACCGAGAGTGGCTCGGGCAGGTCGGGGAGCAGGCCAGGAGTTGAGAGCGGGTGGGCACATGGGCCCTGGGGCAGGGAGAGAGACGATTTGGGGCCGAGGGAGCAGAAGGGAGCAGCAGCAAACGCCAGGGCCTGAGGGGAAGCTTGCCTGGCAGGTTCCAGCACGTCGGGCGGGTGGGGCGGGGCCCCGAGGCCCGAGGAAGACACCGGGGCCTTTATCCAAGTGACGCGGGCAGCTGTTGGAGGGTAGGACAGAGAGATGACTCGATCCAGTTTGTGTTTGGTTCCTGAGACAGCTCAGGGGGAGAGTGGCCGGTGGGCGGTGCGGGGGGCACAGTACCTCTCAGCGAGGAGTCAGGTGTCTCGGGGGCTGGAGCCCCGAAGGCCAATTGGCTGACTGGTGTGTCTTTGCAGTACCTGCTCCACTACCTGATTTCCCTCAAGAACTGGCTGAATCGTTACAGCTGGCAGCGGACCCCCGTTTCCGTCACTGCCTGGGCCCTGCTGCGGGACAGCTACCATGGGGGGCTGTGCCTCCGCTTCCGGGCTCAGCACATAGCCGTGGCAGTGATCCACCTGGCCCTGCAGGCCTACGGGGTCGAGGTGCCCGCCGAGGCCGAGGCCGAGAAGCCGTGGTGGCAGGTGAGGTGACTGCTCAGTATACTGGCCTGTCCCCCTTTCCTTTGCCTAAGGATTTCCAGATGTCCTAGTACCCAGATGTCCATGTTTCTCTGTAGTAACTGTCCACAAAGGAGGCTACGGGCTGCTTTGGAATGTAGAGGCTGGAACATACCCCGTCATAGTTGTCTCAGGTGGGGGCTGTCCCCCTTGGCATTGTGGACTTTTGGGGCTAGGTCATTCTCTGTGGCAGCACCGTCCGCTGTAGATGCCAAGGAGCATCCCCCACCCGGGTCATGACACCCAAAAATGTCCCCGGACGTTACCAAGTGTCCTAGGGTGGGGATCACCCCCACTTGAGAGCCACTTTGTTCAGCCAAGCACTTTTATTGAATTGAGCGCAAGCTTGTCACATATCACAGGCTAACAGACCCGGAGTCACATCAGAAGAGGCATAGGGAGCCCTCTAGAAAGATGCATCGATGTTGGAGAGGCAGATAGATGATAGCTAGATCGACACATGACAGAGGGGGGTGGGGTGCGGGGTGCGGGACAGACACATGGAGGACAGAAGAGGGACGGGTGGATGGCTAGACGGCAGATGGTGAGGCTGACGGTCCAAAGGTTTGCCGGACTGGCCCAGGCCTGCTGAACCCACAGCGCGGTTCGTAGAGCGCGAGTGTGGGGGAAGGACCGCCGTCCAGGACGTCTGCAGTCCTCTGGCTTGCCCCCGAGGAGTGCCCACTGTTTCCCAGGGTGGAGTTTTGAGATCATTTCCCGCTTTCCCATTCCCACACTCGAACTTTGCTGTTCCTCTTATAACGCCTCGTTGTCTGGCCTTGCCCTGGACGCGTTCCCTGCGAGCAGTGTTTGCGCTACCTGGAGCTTTCTCGTCCTGTGCACCCGCCCTCCCTGGCAAAACCCCGTGGCCAGAGGTCCTCTAGAATGTGCCGTCTGTTTCCTGAACAGAGGGTGCCTCCTGGGTGCCCTCCTGGGGCCGCTCCGGGCTCCCCCTCCCTTCCTGCAGCCCCCCTCTGCGGACACCCAGCTTCTGCTTTCTGTTCTCTTGTCCTTTATTGTCTGTGGAACCCCTCCACCTGACCAGACGGTAGCTGCCGGGAGGTTAGGGCTCTTGTCTGCTTCAGCAGCTGCCCTGCGTCCAGCGCCGAGACCTGGCACACAGTAGGTGCTCGTGCATCCTCGAGCAAACAAGTCTGTCGCCCTGGTCTCTGGCGAGACGCCCCTCCTCTGGCAGCATGGGGTCAAACGCCATCTGCATAGACAGCAAGTACTGCTCCATGCTGGGCTTCTCAGGGAACTTCCAGTCCTGTGACCATAGTGTCGCTGCTCGGCTGGAACCGGGTGGCAGCAGGAGGGGCTGCCACTTGCCGGCCCTGCTCTCCGAGGGCATCTGGTGGGCAGCCCCTGTCTCTTGGCTGCTTGGGTCTGCGATGTCATCACTTGCTTCCCACGTTTTCTGCTCTGCCCGTGTCTTCCTCTCCGCTCTCCTTTCTTGTCGCCTGCTCCTGAACTTCCCGGGGCGCCACCTCACCGCCTCTGCCTCCGCAGAGGAGGGTGCTGGGAGGCAGCTTTCACAGGCTTACCCAGGACCTGTGACGGCTGCAAGGAGCGGGGTGGCATACTCGCATTGGCTCAGCGCTTCACCTTTCCTGGGTGGCTCCGGGCCTCGGAGTATCCACAATCTGGGTGCCTTTGGGCTTGTGATGTGCCAGGCCCAGCGCCTTATGATAAACGGCTCTGGATGACGCCCCCCGCCTGCCCGGCCGTGGGCGCTGCCGCCTGAGCTCGGAAATACTTTTCCTCCTTGCGCTCCCCGCCACTCCTCGCAGCTGCCTCTGTCGTCTCCTGTCTCTTGTCTGCCGGGGGCTGGGGCTTCGCCGTGCTGGTCAGGAGCCCTGGGAGAGCTTGCTGTGCTTCCACACCCGGAGCCTGCCTGCACTTGAGCGTGATAGTGGCGAGGCAGGCTGCGTGCCAAGCTGGGTCGGGCCCTGGGCAGACGAGGCACCGACTCTAAGCAGTAGCGTGTTGTGGCAGGTGTCAGCATCTCTGCCCTCACGAAGGCTGAAAGCTGTTCCACGCTACGGCTCCACACATCGTGTCCGTGCTTTCCTCCACGGGGGGATTCTTGGATTGCTTCCACCTTTTGGCCCTGGACTACTTTTTAACAGTCTTTTCTCGGCTTGGGCTCCCCAGGAACTTGCAAGTCGTGGCCCTTGGCAAGCAAGCCCAAGCCCATATTTCCGAGGCATTAATTTTCTGCCGAGAGTCTGGGGCGAGCTGGCCCATCTTCCTGAGCCAGGGCTTAGGGGATTTTCGGGCCGCTGTTTCCTACCTGCAGCAGTAGCTTATGGAGGGCCCTGGCTTTCTTTGGGGCCCGTGGAAGGGGTACACTCAGGTCTAGTGTTTGCCTTGGCTTGGCCCAAGGTCTTGACCCTTCTGGTATCTTGGTTCCCCAGGCAGCAGCCCCTGGCCCAAGGGGCCACAGCATCTAACCAAGATCTCATTTTGCTTTTTATTTGTGGTATCAGGGCTCCCCGAGCACACCCTCGGGCTCGGTGCTCCACCACGGGGGCTCCCAGGACTCAGAAGAGCCGTAGATCAGCTCACAGTTACAGTGGTTATGGTCACTCACGGTGAAAGCACACGGGTTGGAACCAGCAAGGACGAAAGGAGCTCAGGGCAGGGTTGGGGAGAGAGCAGGGGCGAGCCCCCAGGTCCCTTGCCGGGGGAATCTCCCGCGGTGCTGTGTGACAACACGCACAGGGTGCTGCCACCAGGGCTGCTTCCCCGTGTGCTGGTGTCTGGGGCCTCGGGTGCAGGGTCGGTCCCAGAGGCCCGGAGCTCCCGCGGGGTGACCTCGGATACCCAGGCCCTGCCCCCTAAATGTGAGGCCAAGAGGCGTGGCCCAGGGCCCTACCAGGAATCACGCTGTCGGCACAGACTGCCTGGCGGGGCCCTCGGCCCCAGGGAGACGGAGACCCCCTCGTCAGGCAGGACGCGCCAGGGGCCTAGAGGTCCTTTCCCAGGGGTTGGGCAAGGGCCCCAGCTTCCTTGGGGGACATGTGGGGTTGGCCCTAAGCTGTACAACCCTGTTGGTTTGGGCCCCTGGGGGTTTAGTTTACAATTTTATAAGCTCTCCAGCATGGTCTGGAGGACGGCTGGTCCAGGTTATAGAACCAGGCCCTGGGTGTTCTCCAGGGGCCAGCTCAGGGTGGGGTGGGGTTCAGCAGTCTAGCCTGTTTACTTCTGCAAACGCACTCCTGGCCCAGCTCTGTCACTAAGTCCCTGTCCTATTTGGGTCAGATGATCACCCAGGCCTCTTCCATCTGGAACGTTCTCTGCTTTGTGATCAGCCTCAGCAGGCTGGAGGCGAACTGGCTTTGCAGAGAGCCGCTCTCATATCTGAGAGCCACGTCCCTGTGCCACTCCCCCGCCCCGTGTGATGGGATGCCCTGCTTAGTGGTGGGTGCCTTGTTTAACACAGAGGGAGTCTAATCAGCACCTGTTTTCCTTCTCCTTTCTAGGTGTTTAGTGACGACCTTACCCAGCCAATCATTGATAACATTGTGTCTGATCTCATTCAGATTTATACCATGGACACAGAGATCCCCTAAGGCCCTGGGCCAGGCCTGCCCAAAGAGAAGCCCGGGATGCTCGGCTGCCTGGGGACGGCACCACCGCATCGCCGTGACGGCTGGTCCCCAGACGACCAGCTGGGAGGACTGGTTTTGTGCTGCTGGAGACGGGCTGGCGAAGGCGATGACCTGCAGCCGCTTTGGTTCTCATGCTTTGACTGTCCCTGGCAGCTGCGGTCCGGACGGTGATGGGAGCTGTGCCTCCTGCGGGCAGGCCGGGGTGCGCCAGGGGAGGGGCCCCCAAGGCATCCGTGTCTGCTTTTGTCCTTTGAGAGGACACCAACTGCAGTTGAATGTGGAATCATTGGAAGGAAATATCAAAGAACACATGAGACTGCACTCTTGGGGATTTTTTTAACGCCAGATTTATAGGAAGTATGAATGTGCAACATAGATGGAATTTTATTTTGTGTAATAAAAGATGATGCAAATCAATGGAGATGCCCTGTCTCTGCTCTGTGGCCGAGGCTGCTCTGGCTGCTGGGGGTGCCGTCCAACCTCAGTTCCCCTGAAATGCTCTCCCCGCGTGGAATCGCCCCTTGTGCTCCGGAGGCGTCCTGGAGGCAGGCCCCTCTGTTGCCTTCTGAGGGCGTGGTGGCCCGGCGTGCACTCACACCGTGGTGGTGTCCCCCCAACGGAGTCCCCGTGTCCTCCCTCCTCCACTACTGGGACATTCGTGGAGCTTGGCGCTCGTCCTGTTCAGTGGGTGAGCATCGGTTTTGGAGAGAGGGATGAGGGCCTATCCTTTGGGTTCCCCAAACCCAGATCTGACCAAAATGTAACTGGAAAGTAATTGATGGAGTTTTCTTTAATGTCAAGACTGTGACTGGATGGAGAGCCTGGGGAATCTCGGGGCCACGGCACCCTCCTGACCCACTCGAAGGGCGGTTCTTCCAGAAGACCTGCTTTTGGGTGCGTTAGAGAAACCGAGCAGCCTAGGTGGTTCTCCTGGGAATCCCCACTGGGCTCCACACGCCATCGAGGTGGGACTGTCCCTCAAGACATGATGGTGTGGGGGCCCGGGGACTGTCCCAGGTGCTTCCCTGGATTTGTGACGTTGTTGCCAGGGGAGCACGGGCTTTGGATACTGGCTGCTTACTGTCGGTTTCCATGGAACTGGGCCACGGCTGTTTCACCTTTGGAATCTGTCTTCTCTCCCCTGACCAGATCTCAGGCTTAGAGCAGCTTCAGTTTCTTTGGATCTGTTCAGCTTCAGCCTCCGGTGAGGCAGCTGCCCTCCACCCCTCCCCGCTGGATGCGAGGTGGTTTCCTCAGCTCTCAGAAATCAGAACCGCCTGCTCTGGATGGGAGGGCTGGGGGGGGGGGGTCCGGGCCAGCCCCCTGGCGAGTTCTCTCCTCTGCACCTGTTCAATCTGTTTGCTCGCCACCCCCTGCCCCGGGGCCTACCAGAAGGAAGGGAGGATGGTTGGATCAAGCCCTGGAGGGATGGGTGACCCTCCCCAGCCCAGGTTGTGAGGCGCCGAGCTGAACTGGGAAAGCATAGCTCGGGGCTAGCGGCGCTGTGTGGAGATTATGCAGCTCTAGGTTTCCTTTTATGCCTACGGCATAGCAGGCCGGTTCCTTTCTTTCCGTGGGACTCGGTTTCCCACTTGGTAAATTGAGCAGGTTGGACCAGATGATGTCAGACTGGGATTGCTGGTTGCTATTTTTATTTTCACTCTTTTCTGACTGCTGTTTTAGAGCCCTTGGCCCTCCTGTGTGCCTGTCCTGCTGCCCGGCGGGACTTGCAGGCCTCGCGGGCTGGCCCCTGGGCCTTGTCCTGTCAGCGCCGGGCGCCCTGGGGTCATCCGTCTGCCCCGCTGCGGCTGGGGCCCGAAGCCGTGCCTTCAGTGTGCCATCCTCGGAACAGAGAAGCAGGGAAGGCACCGGTCAGCAATGCAGGAGGCAGATGAGATGTTCTGAAACCCCAAGCTTCCACGAGCTTCTCGGTTCAGAGCACATCTTCCTTACTGGAAAGTGATAAATCGCCAGAGCCTTGCCTGGCCTGTTGAACCGGTTGAAGGAGTGGGGTGGGGTGGGGTGGGGGCAATCCGGGTTCTAGGACAACCTGGGCCAGTCTCTGGAAAGCTGTGGTGCAGTGGACCCTGGACCCGGCCCCCGAAAGATGTGTTTGTGTCCTAACCCTTGGAACATGGGGTCTTTGTAGGAATTGTCAATGTAAGATGAGATCCTATGGGAGTCGGCTGGGTCCGAAGCCAGGATGACTGGCGACCTTATAAGACACAGTGGTGGAGTGTGCAGAGGGAGAAGGCCGTGTGACAACAGAGATGGGAGCCGTGCGTCTGGCAGCCAAGGAAGGCCAAGGGCAGCAGCTGGAAGAGACGAGCTTTGGCGCCCAGAGCCCTGGGAGGGGGCTCCGCCCTGCCCACACCCGAGTCCCTGACTCCTGGCCCCCGGAGCTGGGGGACAGCTGGGGGACGCTAACTTCTGCTTCTTTAGCCACCGCCCCACCCGCCAGCGTGTGGAACTGCGGCAGCTCACACCGGGCCTTCCCTGGACTCTGGCCGCACCTGCTGCCGGGGTGCTGGGTGGTGAAAATGGTGAAACCCTGGCGGGCTTCGTGAAGGAATGAGCGTCGGAGCGCTTCCTTGCGCCACCTCAGTTGGCTAGCTACCAATCTGCACGGGAACCTGTGGTGTACCTGATAGCGGGAGCGGAAGAGTGTCCACAGGCAGGAATGAGCAACGTGGGGGGGCGGCATCGCTCCCTAAGGTGCCAGCTGTCTTGACGTGGCATCCGGCCCCATCTAAACTCGCTCAGCCTTGTGCTTCGAGGTGGATTCACACATCCGTGAAGCAAGGGCTCTTTGCTATTTGTTTGCTGTTTTGTGTTATTTGTCTTTTTGCCTTTTTTAGAAGTATGGACTCGTGGTGGTGGTGGGGGGGAGCTTTTTTTATGGGGGGGTGGAGCTTTTTCTCCTTTCTTGGCAGCTTCCCTGGAAAAGGCATCCGCCGGCATTGCCAAGTTTGGAAGTGTGATGTGTGGAGTGGAAAAATAGAAACACAGGGAAAGGAGATGTGGGTAGTCTTGGCTGTCACCGTGGTCGTCATTTGCAAGGTTTGGACCTGAGCTGCCTTTGTGGGCAGGGGGTGGGTCGCAGAGCACAGAGGCCCCCCTCCCCACAGGTGTTCAGAGACACCAAGTGTGCGAAGGAACGGGTAGGGGAATGACCCGGCGAACAAGTGAATGGAATAATGGGTTTTCTTTCCATGGCTTTGGCTTGAAGGGGAAGTCTGTGATTGCAACCCTCGTGTGCTGCTGGCGGGAGTTTAAAATGGTGCGGCCGCCGTGGAACACAGTGTGGCACCTCTTCAAAAAATGAAACCTAGCACTACCGAATGGCCCGGCAACCCCACTCGTGCATGTAGACCCAAGAGGATTGAAAACAGGGACTCAAAACACATATCTGCACACCCGTGTCCACGGCAGCATGGTTCACGGTAGCCGAAAGGCAGAAAGGAACCCAACGGTCCACTGACGGGTGAACGGGTAGGGAAACTGCGGTCCATCCACGCAGTGGAATGTTGTTATTCAGCTTTAAAAAGGCAGGAAATAAAAAAAATAATAAATGAAAAATAATAAAAAGGCAGGGAATTCTGACACAGGCTACAGCGCGCGTGAAGCTCGAGGACACTAGGCAGCGTGTCTTGGAGCAGTCGATTCAGGGACAGGAAGGATGCTGGGCACGGGGGCCTCGGGGCACACGATGAGGAATTGATGTCTAATGCGGACACATTTCAGTTCGGGGAGATAAAGATATTCTGGGGACAGATGGTGGGGATGACTGCGCAGCGCTGTGAAAGTACTTGATGTCATCGAGCTGTTTGCTTCAAAACGGTCAGGACAGTGACTTTTATGTTCTATATCTTTTGCCATAATAAAAAAAAAGGAGGCCGCATGTGTGCCAGGGTTCTGACATTTGGGTTGGTGGCCCCTGCCCTCACCTTCCTTTGAGGACGCTGGCCTGGACATTCAGGCTGGGAGCCTCTAGGCCACGACAGTTAGAGGACCACCATGCAAACCTCGGCTAGCAGGGCCTCCGACCCCACAGGGCAGCCGAGCCCTTTCTTCCTTCCAGAAGGATTGGGCAGGTGGCTGCATACCAGGGGGCGCTCCGCACACCCTTCCTGGGGCTCGTCGCAGCTTGGTGAAGCGGATGAAGACGCCTCCTTTTCATTCCAAACGAGAATTCACCAACTAATAAATCACACATGTTACCCAGACTGGGACTGTAGCAGCCTTTCATTTTTTTTTTAATACACAGAAATTTTGGTCTATTCTTTAGGAAATTCAACTACAGACTCGAAATTATTATGCATCTGGTCTTCCTCACGAAGATAATTTTTGTTCAACTTTATAACAGGCAAATAAAAAGGTAAAACATATTTAAGAACTGAACACAGTTGACCAAGCCATTCCGTATAATATGCTTTTATAGAGAGGGGCTTCCTCACGAGACAGGTCCCTCGGCCTGAAGACTGTACAGAAACCAGAGCGACAATCCGAGGTCACGGCGCCCCTTTTCTGAACCCCACACCCCGAGGAAAGGCAACGTAGAAACTCAACAATGGACACACACAGTAGGCAACTTTGTACAGCAGCAGTGAGGGTTTTTGTTTAATATATATTGACCATTTGTTCTACCGAGGTGTCTCTAACAGAGAATGAAAAGAAGCCCATGAGCAGAGCGTATGCAGCTTATCTTCTTCAATTGAAAGATTTCCGATTTTATTTCTAGTTTAAGAACACACAGACCCTCAACAAATTGAGTTGCCCTTTTTGTTGTTGTTGAAACAAGGACATTAGGGAACAGTTTACAAATGGGTAACATTCTCGATGTGCCCTTTGGAATAAAGGGATGGCTTTAAGTTATCTGTAGCTGGCATTTTGAGTGGGATTTTCTTTTCTAACTGAAATTCCTTTGCCCGAGATTGGACTACTCCTGCTCAGGGGTGACATGGCATTCGCGTTAACGGTAGGGACCGAGCGTGTTTGGGATGTCCACCCGGATGCTCACACGGGCAGGTGGAGGTGAGACGAGTCCCCTGCCGGTGGGTGCAGCACAGGGGACGTGACGGGTGAGCCAGCCTCGCTGCCCATCCACACCTGCATTTCCGTTCTGACCCGTGTCCCTCAGCCCCCCGCTGTCCCTCAGTGGCTCAGCCTCAGGCCCAAGTGATAGGCACATGTACAAGCTGTGGTCGGGCCTCAGGGGCCTCTCTGCAAAACACGAGACAGATGGATTCAGAAGGTAAAGGAGCCTCTGCTTTTCCTGCATTTCCCTCCCTGGTTAGTGTGCGTTCAGGGGAAACTGAGGCTTGGCACCAGCGGTGCCCATACGGCAAGGAGAGGTCCCCGAGGGAACCGTCTGGGGAGCCCAGGCCCAGCTCTCCCACCCGCAGACACGGGGCTCCGCCG